TCAGTAGAAAATTGTGTATCTAAAATTAAAACTGAGATGAACTAACGAAAATTCTATACTTTAACTCACCATAGTCTCTTTGTATAACTGTTCCTAGTTTTACATTACCAGTGAACTTGCACAACACACTAGCAAATGTTTGTAGTGAACTATACTTGCTTTCAATAGCTACTATAATGGCAGCTAACAGGACTTCACGTTGATTAGGAACAGAAGGACTAACTGAAGCTACACTAGCCAATACTTGTCCTGTTATGACACCCTCTCTTTGAAGCATAATAGCTACACTGACAGGATCAGAAAGACACTGAGAGAGGAGTGGATGATGAGTGTTGAATATATCAATAGCCTTAGCTTTACGTTCTATAGAATACACACACACAGTCAATACTAATACAATCAGTGATATTAACTTACTCTCTTGATCTAACTTGTCAGCTGCAGCATTCTCATTCATAGATTTAAGAGCATCTGACAGTGAGTCAAAGGTAGCTCCTCCTTTACTGTCAACATTATCAGCTCTGGACAACCACTTGGAGAGGCATTCAAGCAAGCATCGAGATACATCACCACGAAGAGTGACTTCCAATGCGTCCAGTGTGTTTTTGTGTAGTCCTAGTTTAAGTCCTAGCCCAAACCATTTTGCCTGAGGAAAACCACATCTCTCCAGTAAGTCAGCAACATCAATAAGTTGCTCTAAAATCATATTCAGTGATACATAGACAGTTAATGAACATTACCAATAGTCAAAGGAGAAGAGAAGAGACTCAGAGAAGAGGAACAAGAACTGGTTTTAGTTGCCATTGATCAAAGAACAAGCTAACCGGGTGCAAACTTTGCAAAGGAATGACAAGGGAGGGGCTCGTTATGGGCGGGCCGGGAGCAATTATTGTTATTTTAACCCTCAACATGGCGGAATTGGAACAGACAGATCATGATGGACTTTTCATATAACCGTACAAGGAAGAGAGAAAGTTGATGAAAATGATGGAGTTTTTAATGAAAGCAAAATAACAGATGAGGTAGTTCAAATGTACCTGTACATGTTTACTAGTACATGAATTCTTGTAAATTTGTGAATTACTGCATAATTATGAATTTGTGACCAGTGCCATTGAGCATTTAGCATAATAATCCTATTATATATTTATTTATTCATCTATTTCACATGTTGACAGATTGTGATGGTGAATTATTATCAATTAGTAGTATATTTATACTTTATTGTTCTCATCTCTCTCCTCCTATCCTTTCTTTCATTTTCTTTCTCGTAGGAGCTTGTAGCTTTAAAAGACTCTCATGTATTTAGTGTAAGTAATGTAATGTAATGCTTAAAACTTTCCCGCAATTTTATTACATTTTCTGATACATATTGATGTCCTTATGCTGTGTAGAAAGTTTGAGCTGATTCAGACTTCAATTTTTAAAGTTATGGCCATTTTAAGAAACTGCCACAATTTTGAAAAATACCCAAGGCTATATAGCCCATGGTTTTTTCCGAAAAATAGCTCCGAAATCACCCCAAATTTTTATTACATTTTTTGATACATATTGATGTACTTATGCTGTGTAGCAAGTTTGAGTTGATTCCGAATTCAATTTTTCATGTTACGACCATTTTAAGAAGTTGTCAAAATTCTGAAAAATACCCAAGGCTATAGCCTATGGTTTTTTCCGAAAAATAGCTCCAAAATCATCCCAAATTTTTATTACATTTTCTGATACATATTGATGTCCTTATGCTGTGTAGCAAGTTTGAGTTGATTCCGACTTCAATTTTTCAAGTTATGGCCATTTTAAGAAAATGCCAAAATTCTGAAAAATACCCAAGGCCCATGGCCCATGGTTTTTTTTACAAAAAATGGCTCCAAAATCACCCCAAATTTTTATTACATTTTCTGATATATATTGATGCCCTTATATTCTCTCCTCCCCTTATAGTCTTTGTGTCACTTGTGTTCAGTGATTCCTGGTAGAGATGATATTGAAATGTTTCGTTTAAAAATGATTTTAAGATCATTACAAATACCGAGCTTTAGTGGGAAAATGAATGCCCTCAATGAAGTTATGAATATTCATTATTATTTTATTATTATTATTATTAATAGATTAATAAGATTGTCTCTTCAATGAGTTATCATCCTCACTTCAGGACAATAGGAGATGAGGAACAACTCACAACTGAAAGAATAGCTGTCAGTTGATTATTATTGTTTATTTATTTTTATTTATTTATTTAGGAGTGGATTAAAACCAATAATGTGTTAGCTATTGTCTTGAGAGATATCCTCCACCAACCACAAGTAAGTGAGAGAGAGGGGGAGGGGGAAGAGGGTGTGTACATATTGTACATGTTTATGCTGTATATATATTGCTTCTCTTCTTGTTCTTGTAGTATGTAGAGAAGTTGGATAAGCTGGTGAGGTTTTGTATAAAAGAGAAAGTATTGATGCTTGAAG